ATTGTTGAAGTCGTTGGTGAAGGACGTCGTTTTCCTCTTCTTTCTCTCTCAGTGCAGCTTCAGCTCTAAGAACTCGGCGTTGCATTTCAGCAAGGAATGATGACTTCACCAGCACCTCTTCCTGCTCTGCTCCCTGATTTGGGACATACCAGTGTCAATCGTCTTCAAGTCTAAAAAATATTTAGAATTTTCACTTTTTATATTAAATTTGTGTGTTGAAAAGAGAAAAAGGCAAAGTTAGGGTGGAATTCCCAGCATTAAAAATAGAGAACAATAGCAAGAGCAAGAAAGTAGAAAGCTATGTAAATAGGAAAAGAGATCCAAGTGTCCTGGATAAATTAAAATCACAATCAGTAACTAGTGACAAAGTATAAATATGAAACTTCAAGGTTACCAACAGAGTCCTGACTACCTTTTTGCCTCCGAAATGCAGAAATCCTAAGTCTCCAGAGCATCTTCGGACCATCCAGCCACGGATAACTGGAAAATAAAAAATTCAGGAAAACAAAATTCCTTTAGGACCACTAGCCTTCAGATTAAATATAATGCCTCGACCACTTCTATTAAAATGTGGAGAATGGAAATTTATAGGGTCTCACGAGAGACAAAGGGATGCACTTAAAAATCAAGTCAGTGTTTGTCTCGATGAATATGTTCCTAATTTTCATCATTGTATTCTCCAGAACTACCAATTGATTTACAGAATCACAAACTTTCAAGCACACATGAATATCACCGGCAAAAACTCAGCAAATTTAACCAATGAAACAACTCGTATATATTAGGATCTATTCATACTTTAATCAATAACTCCAATAAATATATTCCAAACAACAGTCAAACATTGAATAAGTTTAAAGCAATCTGATTTACAGCATATGCAAAAAGTTCAATGATTAAAAGAAAATGGAATGCGTTGGGCAACAGAATTAGATACAACTGATACGTCTCATGATTAGTCAGAAGGAAAATCCTCAAACCAGTTTTTTCAGCTTCCTTTGGTTGCCAGTGATTAAAAGTGGAACCAATCACAGGCCTTCCATCGCTGGGTACATTAAACCCTGTTCTTGATTGACAAACGATTAAGTTGACAAATTAGACCAGTGGTTTGCTGGTTTTCAAGAATCATAATGGTTTCAATGAAACAGTTTTTGGCATCCAACTGGATTAGATGGAGCAGTCGAACAGTGCTACCCTTTGGACCAGCGAGTCACACTGATCTCGAGAGAAATAATGAAAGAACTCTTAATGGTTTATAGTTATCTTCATATAATAGAAACTAATGATTACCTGATTGGATTAGAACTGATGCGTCATAAATATTTTCAAACTTTTTCCTGTTAATCCTGCCTTTTATTTGTTTTTGAATAGATATAGCTGCTCTATGCCTATCTAATAAGACTGCATACTCTTGTCTAGTTTTTTCACCCCGAACAACTGCATTGAAAAGTTTCATGGATCAGATTGATCAGTTTATGTAGCACAATACAATAAGAAAAGCATGCTAAAATACTTCATATGGACGTACATGACTGAAGAGTGGTAATGCATCTCCTTAAATACTTTGCGT